GTTATAAAAAAAAAAGAAAAAAACCAAAACTTTTCAATATTAAGATATATCATATATTGAGACAAATCATTTAAAATATAACTGTGCTTGCGACCCATACATATTCTTACAAGTATAAAGTAGAAAGAAGACCTCTACGCATTATAAATAAGTACACCGATTTATTAGTATTTCGTTTAGATTGACACATAGGAAGTGTAAAAATCTCTTATCAATAAATTGTTTTGCAATACAAAAAATACTTTTTGGCGATAAAAAAGAACTGATTCTGTAAGTGTATACTGTACACAGGCATTAGACATAATTTACATGTACTTATTTTATTTTTTTTATAGATACTGGATGCAACATCTGAGATGTGTCTTTTATCAAAATTCATTTTATATACATTCATTTGAATTCTAAAGATATATCCTTTGATTCCATGTCTGTACCCATTTTTGTGTGAAACGTATCTTACATTTTTTTCAAAACGTTTTTGTAATCGCATGTACATGTGCCCCTTTGAAATTGCACAAATGACCTTGGATCAAGGTGTGAAGTATTAATTCTTATGTTCCTTCGTAAAAAAGATATGAACAGGACACGTTTGCACAGACAGATGGACGAGATGATTCCTATACATAACACCAAACTGTTTTAGCGGGTATAATGATAAGACCACTGGTTATTTGGGCAATAGATTTAGAACAGATCAAGGCACAAACTACATCATCAACATCTTGTAAAATGCAAATTCACATTAAGTTGAAAGAAGCTGGATACTAACGGCATTTGGCCTTTGTAAACAGAAAAAACGTACGTTAAATCTGTGAAACGGTAACATACCCAAATCAAGAAACTTTGACCTTGATTGACATTGAATAATTAATATATTGATTACTGTGAAACAATAAGTCTGATCTTGGTCTTTATGTATTGAGACTACCGTCTCTAGTTTTAAAGTCTTTGGTTTTCCTCACAAACAGACACACAGGCATGTTATAATATAATCAATTATTTTTCTTTCATGTTTGATATCATCCTATGATTTTAATACAAGTATAACGGGACAAACCAGTACTAAATAGTAAAACCCCCACTCTGATTGACTCTCATGAATCAATCTCACAATAATAACATGGCATGCCTAAACAAAGAGTGTACTAAAATTTCAAAAATCTGCAATGAGTATTCGCTGAGAAAACCCTGATGGAAATTTGGTACATACAGACACACAGATAAACAGAAAGTTGACGTTATATTCATACAAAAATAAATGTCACCTTTTGACATGCAAAACGTGTGTTTATAGCCCAAATCATCTACTATGAGTAGTTGCCGAAAATATGCTAAGAAAATTTGTTACAGACAGACAAACAGACAGCTAGACAGACACACAAGGGTAAAAAAGAATACCCCTCTCCTTCAGAGCTAGGGTAGAATTACTAGTAATCTGTTTGATTGACTGGGCAATATGTTATAAATGTTTATGATTCACTTTAAGTGTTTAAATGAAAAATAACCACAACTCAACAGATTGCAAAATTTGCAAAGTCAGTAGTATTTAAGTGTGTGTTGCATTGCGAACCACAATCATATTTCAGTATAATGTTTCTGTACATATAAGTAATTAATTATCAAATTATGGTTTTGGTTCAGAATGCAACACGTTGTGTACTAGAAGGTTAAACATCATAATCCTCCAACATTTTCCCATATACTCATTGTTAAAGCGGTTGAGGGTACCATACTTTGATCGTTTATTCCAATATCATCCCAACTATTTTCTCGCAAAATAAATACACAGCACAAAATTAGACATGTTGAAAATAATGGAAGTAAGTTTAAAATTGTTGGCAATCTATTTTCATTTTTTCGCAAAAAACATGGGCCAAAAAACAGCCTTGTGGAAACCTCTCCTTTGGTGTTTAAAAACGCGCATTTAGGGCCCTGTCACGCTATATGGCGTACCCGCTGAGTTATTTCAATGTTGTTAAATATTTGAAATTGTCGTGGAATCGCAGAAAAATTGCAAAATTTTCTGTAAAATTTTCACAATGTGAAGTTGTCAAGGCGTCCCTACGGCGACCGACGCGCTTGTTAGATGCGGTCTCACGGAGATATACGATCTCCAGAGGACTGCGCTTCCGTGATGGTTTTACGGCGTGCTGAGGCTTAAAGTTGTCACCTCGAATTCAAGCACGGCCCTCACAATACGTTCATAATGTGTTTTCCACCCATGGTTATATACGCAGATAGAGTGCGACAAATTGTTTCATTCAAGTTTTATGATGAAGACTTCTACTTGTGCTAAGAAATATTCTTTAATCAAAAATGATTTCTTTGAGTAACTAACATCAAGTTCTAAATTATTGAGATTTTTATTAAAATCAAAACCCTTCTTTTTCTTATTTAAAAAATTCGGATGTGTATTAAATAATGTCATTTTATTTGATATTATTATAGATGTACAAAAATAACCACACTAAAAAGTTCTTATTAGAAGCACAGTGAAATCTTCACGGATTCCTCGAGGTTTCCGTAGAAACGCAGTCTACTATCCCTGTGTTTGTGCTGCGATCATGAGCGTCTTCAAGGCATGCCTACGGAGCTCCCACTGCGTTGTTGGAGATCTCACCGCACTGTTACGACAAGCACACGGCGCGTTCTTAGTGCATGCCCAAAATGCACGCCGTCCTCTGGCGTTCTAGGAGCCCTAAACAACCCCACCGCGTCCAGTGGATGTCTCGCCGCGTTGTCACGGCGCTGCAGTTGAATCTATTGCGCTCTTTCAAAAGCGGGGGACAATGATATAGAATACAAATACAAACTTTACAATGCAAACGGAAAAGATAGAAAGATAGAAATTGCAACGTTTTACATGCCATAAAAAGGCTCAAGTGAGCTTTTTGCTTTTTCTGATCACATTTTGTCCGTCCGTCTGTAAACTTTTCACATTTTCGACTTCTCCTCAAGAACCACTGGGGCAATTTTTCTCAAGAACCACTGGGCCAATTTTAACCAAATTTAATACAAAGCATCCTTAGGTGAAAGGGAGTTTAAATTGTAAAAATGAAGGCCCTAATCCCCTCACAAGGGGAGATATTTAAGGAAAGAAAAAAATAGAGTTTGGGTCATTTCACAATCTTCTCAAGAAGTAATGGGCCAGAAAAGCTGAAACTTATGTGGAACCATCCTAGGGTTGTGTAGATTCTAAATTCTTCAAATCATGACCCCCAGGGGTTGGGCGGGGCCATGATAGGGAATCCAAGTTTTACATAGAAATTTAAAGGGAAAAAGTTTTAAAATCTTCTTCTCGGAAACTACTGGGAAAAAAAACTGAAACTTACATGGAAGCATTCTGGGGAAGTGTAGATTCTATATTGTTCAAATTATGAACCTGGGGGTTGGCCGGGGCTACAATACGAAATCAAAGTTTTACATAGAAATATATATGAAAGAAACTTCAAAAATCTTTTTCTCAAGAACCACTGGGCCAAAAAGCTGAAACTTATGTGGAAGCATCCTGGGGTGTTGTAAATTCTAAACTGTTCAAATCATGACCCCTGGGGTTGGGCGGGGCCACAATAGGGAATAAAATTTTACATAGAAATATTTAGCATCCTGGGGTACTGCAGATTTTAAATTGTCCAAATTATGACCCGTGGGGTAGGGTTGGGCCGAAATAGGTACTACAAGTCAGAAATCGGGTAAAGAACAGCATGGTCAAAGCTATCAGGTGAGCGATGTGGCCATAGGCCTCTTTTTTTTCTTTTTTTCAAAGTCATACGTTTTGAAACGAATTTTTAAGTACCTTGTACATCTTTTAAACGGTGTGTTCCCTGAACGTCTAAATCTTATATAAACAGCATAATTATCACACTCAATTAAGGGGCCCCTCTAAGGGACACAGGTAGAGTTTACCTGTGTTACCTGAATAAACTAGCTGCATTTATAAGAAATGGTTTAAAAGGTTTAAAAGGGTTTATTATTTTAAACCTTTTAAACCATTTCTAGATTTAGCTGTAGTGCAGTATGTCTAAAAATTCTCCTTGAAAGCAGTTAATCATAATGTATAAGATAGGGACTTGATTAGAAGAACATTTGCTGGACCAGGCAATTTATCGTTGTTTGTAATGATTTTTCTGAAGGTTTAGGAAATCGGTTTAGATAGGATAGGTTGAAACTTTTTGGTTTTCTCAAATGTTAAACGTTTAAAACACTAAAACGTGATTTTAAAGAATTCCTTTTAATTACAGTTATAGTTTTGAATTCTAAAAAAAGACAGTTTGGTCATTAAAACATATAAAATGACCTGGATATCATGTTAACACTCTCCAACTTATTGGATATTCAAGGCATACTTTTAGACTAATAAGTGGTTCGTATTTTAAATGGCGTGTTTCCTGCCGATTGTTGGGCATTTATTTTTTTACTTAATATGAGCATAGAATGTTCGGTCTACCTAATCATTACATAGGGCTTGTGTGGAGTCTGTGGGTAAACAGGGGATGCTTTCTTCTCCTAGGCACCTCTTCACACCTCTAGAATCCACGGAATCTTGCGTATCATACTCTCTGTACAGATTATTAATGGTTGTTGATTTTTCGTTGATAATTGTTCGCAATCTTATTCAAAATTTATAATTTATAATCTTCCGGTATGTGTAATGATATTCCTCATTGCTCTACAAAATTCGTTTTCAATATTATATTTTCGTCTTCACAGAATATAGCTACTTTCATCACAACATGATGTAATATGATCTCTGCAAAGAAATTAATTGAATTGGATTGTTATTATATGGAACCTCTATTGAAATAAATGGGGATTACAAGTAGTATTCAAGGCTCATTAACAAGTCAAGTAACAATGCATATCAGGAGCAATACAAAATAGGAGCAGAGCAACACGGACCTCAAAAACAGAGTTGGGATCAGGTGCAATGGAGGAGTGAGCATTCCCTGCCTATCGGAAATAAATATTTAAAAAAAAACAACATTTTTAAAACAAAAAGCAAAATACACATGCATTCATAATGCAGTATTTACATTTCTTTTAATAACTATGAAAATAACTTAACAATACTGAGTAAAATTTAAAGCAGGTGAGGTAAAAGAAATTTTCTCATCTCAAGATGTCTTCACAGGTGTAACATTGAACATCTTTGCCATGTCATTCTTTAAAAACAGAAGAAAAAAAAACATGAAATGCATATATACGAAAGAGTTCAATATGAGAAAAATTAATATATTTAAGCACATGCCCCCCCCACCCCTCAAGGTTTCAAATGCAACCAATGATAATGCATGTCAATGATTCAATCGTAATATTCAAGTATAGAAAAAGAAAAATATCAACTGTATACATCAAAATAACGCCAACATATTACAAATAATTAGCAAAAGCAGCTCCCTTACCATGAATGTGATCTGGTTAGGATGGTAGGGAATTCCCCCTAGTTTGTCACACAGTTTCATGTGTTCCTTCTCAGGGTCTCCAGGGACTAACACAGGTTTGTCGGGACCGTCCACCTGTAAGCAGACAACTCATCCAACATACTTACAAAATTAGAGGTACTATGAGCTCAATAAATAATACCCCCGCCTCCCATATGAATATAATGGCGGTGTCCATGTTTTGCTATGGAAAACCCAGAATATGTGTGTTTTTTCAGTACAGGTATATATTAAGCTGAAAATGTACAAAACTTATTAAGATATTTCTTTTTACCAAAAGATAACAATAATACGTCAATGCAAACAAAACAATGCTTGATGTATTCAATGTTTTGCTAACAGCTTATAATTATTATGACAATACAGACGAAACAATGTATTTAATTGACAGTTATACACGATCACTTTTAGCGGGTCTTACCGATTCTAACTGCCTGCAGATATTATTTAGTTCACTCATTCGGTCCTCAAAGTCATCTGTAAACGCTTTAGGATCCAGAACAATAAAACACTGTCCCTACAATTATGATCTTTGTATGTAACTATAACAATGTTAACTTCTGCTAATCAAATGCAATTATAATGTAAGTATTGATAATATTCCCTCCAAAAATAAATGTGTTGTACAGCTACAATACAGTTCTGTAGCTCTAAGACTAACAACAAAATGTTATAAAGTGAGGTAACTCTGAGTTAATTTTTTTTCATTATATTGCAATGCAGTGAATGCACAATAAAATCTAACAAGAGCATCGCAAAGTGAAGCATCCCCTCGTAAAATAGCATCTGTAAAACCAGACATATTTCTGTGCTAAAACTCAAGACAGTGTTCGACATGGATCCCGATTCAAAGTACGTTATTGCTGGCTAAGATATATACAGTATTTCAGATAAGAAAAACAGATAAAGAAAAATAGAAAGTAACACCACATGATCATAGCAGAGAAACACATAATTATTATAATACGTATATTCAAAAATTTAGCCTACCAGATTGGCGACTCTGGTTGCTCCCTTCCACTGACGTATGTGTGGACCAAAGGCCCCTCCACTAAGTATTCCTGTCAGGACTTCTACCATCATAGACAACCCATATCCCTTATAGCCACCTGTCACGGCGGAAATAGTTATTCAACAACGTTCACATTTAAACTATTCGTTAAAAAGGATGTCTAAGCATCAAACAACCCGGGCTTTTCTTCAATGCAGGAGTAATGTGTATCAATAATCATAGCACTACAATTTTCAATTTAATTGGAGCTGTTTGTGCAAAACGCGCAACAGTCTTTTTCACACAAAAAAATGATTTATTCATAGTTATGGTGATGAAATATTATAACTATTACTAAAAGGAAGAAATTTAGATCGAACGGTATAAGAATTCTCGAAGTCAGTATACTTACTGCTTTCTTCCTTTCCTCCCAGAGGTAACAGTCCTTTGATTTTCTTTGGATCGTATGTTTCCTGTTTGAAAAATACATGCAAACGACTTACTATACACAGCATATTAAGGAAAAGTCCCATACATAAAAGAAATTTTAGGGAATTACTTACATTTCCGTCAGCATCTACCGCCCAGCCTGGTGGTAGAGGAAGGTTCTTTCTGTCTTGAATCTCGATCTAAATCATATCAGTAATAAAATAATAATGTGTATGGTTTGAAAATAAATATAGTGACTCATATATTCGATACTGGCATGGCTGAATTTCACATTGTTTCATTTCAGGATTTTTTTTTTATTTCAAACTTTTCATTTCCGACTTTTTAGTTTTTATTTCCGACATTTTAATGTCATCTCGGACATTTTTCAGGTTGTGCAATTTGGTGATGAAAGCAGGACTGGAGAATTCTGACTTATGAAAAAATTAAAGAATAAATTAGAGTACCCCCGGTATATCAAATGTCTCGGACATAAGTTTGTTGGAGTCATTGACATTATATACTTTTATATAATTTTCATGTGTTTTTATTAATATTTTGAAAATGTGGTTTGAAAGAAATTCTTTTAAAATTCCATTTGGTTAACATTAAATTGCCAGAGAGGTACCTTGTAAAAATTCGGGAAATGAAAATAAAAATTGTTGGAAATGAAATAAAAAATGTCGGAAATGCTATGCAGCACTTGAAACATAGTTTCGAACTTGGAGGGGGGGGGATAAATCAAAATCATATTCTCTGGAGCATGGGAAGGTTTCAACTTTTGAAGAATGTATGGATGGGGTCCATCCCCTCCGTATTATTACGTACCTGCGTTATATGATACAGTATTCTTACCATGAATAACTTAATTGTTCTATTCAGATTATTTAATCATATAACATGTTTTGGAATAAAACTGCATTACCTTTCCAAGCGCTACACTTGAGGTGGCCATATCCAACACGAAGCTGTCGCCATCTTTTGCCGGGGCTGCCATACTAATAGGATTTGTACCCAGAACTTGCTACAAAACTAAAACTTGTTTTATTGTTGACTGGAAATTCATTTCTATTACTAGTATTAAAAAAATTAGATCTTTGATCCGCACCAACTAGATCGGTACATTTGTGTAGCGATCTACTCGGAGCGGATCAAAGTTATAATTTTAATTAGATGTGGGAAATTCTGAGTAGGAATCTGATTTGTTTTAACACTTTTATTCACTTGATATGTATTTTGGTATTAAACCATAATGGCATACTATTTTTAGTACAGTCGGTATAACATCCGGAAAAGAAGTGGAGAACGTTGGGGCACATCTAAGGGAAGGGGGGGGGCAATAAAATGGAATAAGAAAAGAGAAATTAAACCAAAAAGTGGAATATTAATACAAAAAAGACACAAAAATTAAAGCGCATACCTCTTTTGATCTTGTTGGGTTCAGCACTGGCGATGTATTAGTAAAAGACATTCCCTGGAACAAAATACTGAGATTACGTATAACTTCAATGAAGTTACTCTTTTCATTCTAATCTGAAACAGACTTCTACCAAAAGCTCAGCTTTATAAATTAACTGCTTAAGTAACATATTGCTTATTCAGTCCATTCATCTGTCATATAGTGCTTACTATAAGACCATGTTCCAGAGCTCTTAAAGAATACCATCCGGCTATCCCAAAGTGGTTTGAGCCTGAAAATTGAAAATTAAAGAAAAAATATATTTTTAAATAAAACGCTACGACCAAAATCTTTAGGCGATTTCAAAATTTATGGCGTGTAAAAATTTAACTTTCTATATTCTTTTTTCAAAAAGATCTAAGCCATCTTTATATAAATTAATAATGTTGTTACAAAGAAAACATTAAAATATTCAATTTCGTTTAAGTCGTTAATTTTTCTGTAAAATGAAGCCCAGAAGTAATACCAGTATACCTCGAACCGTGACCATTCCAATCCCTGCCTCTTTAGCCTTTTTGATCGCCAGATCCACAGCGAATTTTCCGACGACTGGACCTATTCCCAAAAGACAGCAAAAGGTAAGAAAAGTTGACAAGCTGATCTAATGCTACAATTAGCATGATAGGAGACACTTGTTGATTGAATTTAAATGCATATCCTACCCAACAAATTATTCCCGTCCACCAGGGCAGTAGCGACTGTCTGTTTGACGATTTCCGGGGAAGCCCCGCCTCCTCTGCATATTCCTGATTTTAGTTCACTTGAATACATATCTTAAAAATATATAAATTAAATTATAGTAATACATAAGCATATAATTTGACATTTATTAACTGCATTTGATTTAAAAATACTCTCAAAATCAAAGCAGAAGGAAAACCATTAAGTGTACACGTCTCCATTTGGACACTCACCTTTTTTTTTTAATTTTGGGGTTAGAAAAAAAGAAAATGAAACTATTAGATTTACTTCATTTTTACAATCTACACTTGAGGGAATACGTGCACAATGAAACTTTTGACATCTCTTTTGTGGGTTTTCCTCTTCTCCTACTAGTCTTAAGTTTTAACTTAAACACCAACACTAAGTGTTTTATAAATAACATGTATGCCATAATAGCACGTCAACTAGATTTTTTCACATTTTTACAGCATAAATCGCATTCAATTAAGATACTAGAAAATCTTAAAATATTTTAAATCGCTGGTTCATCAGTGTATTTTACAATCTCTATAAACACATGCTAAACTTAAAGGTGTAGCATATCAGAATTTTGTACATGTATATTAAACTTTAAAATTATGTTTTTATTTACATGCACTTATAATTGTGAAATAGAGGTAGGATAATAAAAGTTTTACAAATATATAAAATTACAAAGTTACTAAAAGTGTCTGTGTTGATTTATTTTACAATTTTGTTGAATTAATTATTTTCCCGCCAAAAACTCTGTTGAGCGATTGGTTTAGAAGTAGCACATGACTAGTGACCATAGACAGGTTTTGAATTTCTTTCGGGTGTTGGTCACTTTTATCCCGTGCTGTTGTGCCAGCAGGTTGTATACATTCTAGTATTTGAGTTTCGTGGACTTTAGATTTTCAGTCGTACTAGGTTTGACTTTTTGTTTGGTTTTTATCTTTGAAGTTTGAGCATTTTTTCAGGATGAGGTTTCTGCATTTATATTTTTCCAGTGGTAAAAAACTTGCATGTTTAATTCTTTTAGTAGAGCACAGCACTTAATAAATTTCCTATTTTCTGGAGAGCCTAAATTCTAAAATTTTAGAAAGTCCTTTGTCTAATACTATTTGTAAACCTAAGTGTTAATAATTGTTTTATTTTATCGCTAAACTTTCATAATTAAAAAAGTTCAGTGGAGATCACTTCATAAATTAAATTCATGAGTGTTAAAATTATAACAATATTGAGTTAATGCGTTCAGATACGTATTAATCAGTCTATTTACTATTTTATGATTTAGTGTTTTGTATTATAATATATTTACATCCACCATTGGCGGATCCAGTGGGGGGGTTCCGGGGGTTGGAACCCCCCCCCCCTTTATTTTTGTAAAGTGGTGAGAGAGAGAGAGAGAGAGATTTAGTTTTTTCCAATTACCTTCACTATTCCTTTTTTTATGGGAGAATGGTAGAAAATATTTTACTTATTTTTATATACACATGTATCTTGTATATCATATATATCATGCGATCTTTGGCTGTGTTGGCTACACAGGCTAGATCGCTTAGAAAAAAATAGAGGTGTTGAAAAAAAAAATTTACACACTCAATTTTTTTAAGCATCCAAAGGCCTGTGGTTGGCTATATATGTACCGCTATTTCTTCTGAAGGAACTAACATGTAACTCTTTGTTTTAAACCCGACCCGCACCCCACCCCCCAAAAAGTTTTACAAATTCTAAAAGAAAATTCTTTGTACTCTTCGGAAATACTGCAAATCCATTCAATTTTAAGGCTTTAGTAGTTTTTGATATGTGGTTTTTTTATTCGGACAGGGGGTGCCTTTTCGAAGAAAAAAGGGACGTAAAACAGATATTAACCACAACCTTAGATCTGTCCATACGTGTGTGTGAATCTTTGATTGAGAGTACTAGTATGTAGGGGGGGGGGGGGGGGTAGAGGGACACAACCCTGGAACCCCCCCTTTCAAAAATGGCTGGATCCTCCCCTGTCCACTGAATATTTTCTTCTTTATTTCTTAAGAAAACCCATTGCGTTCATCCCTGCATAAACTACATTAAGCATATCACCTGTACAGATTTCTTGATCAGTGGCCGTTCCATCAATGAAACGTACAAAGACGTTCGCATCATTAACACAATAATTAATATTTTTAATCCTACTAAAAATGATAATTTAAACAGATATAAATATAAACAATAAAATGTCTTTCTTTGTTTGTTGTTACTGGAATGAACGGTCGCAGCTATTGCAGAAAAAATTTACATAACCCGCTTACGCGGGTTATGTATTTTTTCTGCAACAGCTGCTTCCGTTCATTCCAGTAACAACAAACAAAGAAAGCATTTTATTGTTTAAATGAACACTTGGTGATTGTATACATTGCTGACGGGTTAGAATTAATATAATATAACCTGCTGAACTTTCAAACCTGTGTTGTCTTTTATTTCACGACGCAACCAAGGTTTACAAAAGTACAAACTGTTTGAATCTTGTTATATTTTGCGAATTTTTATCTTTTTAAAGGATTAATTGCATGGGGGAGGTGATCCACACCTCTTGTACCAGGTACATGTGAATACGAGTCACCCTCTAGTCCAGTCTTGTTTAGGAACATAACATTGTATCTTATTCTTTTTTTTTTGGGGGGGGGGGGGGGGGTCACAGTGTAATTCAAAGCCATCTCCTCTCTCTTCCTCTCTCTCTCTCTCTCTCTCTCTCTCTCTCTCTCTCTCTCTCTCTCTCTCTCTCTCTCTCTCTCTCTCTGACGTAAAATGAAAGTGAAAGTTAATCAAAACGTAAATAAAAACACATTACCGAGTCTGTTCATGCCATGACTGTAATGACCTCGATAATCAGCTGTGACAAGAAGATCCGCCAAGTCAGCTGCATGGTTTGGATCCGCTCCAGCTGCTGTGATGCATCGCACTACAAAATCATGGAGCTCTTCTTTGGACACAAGTATATCCCCCTCTGTCGCCATTCCGGGTCAAAATTTAGATAGGTAAACAAGAGTTATCTCGCTTCATATTCGCTAAAATCGCGATCGTCATTAGAAAAAGTTTAGGTGTCAGGCCCGTTTTCTGAAGAGGCTTTTGTTTTTGTTTAAAAATGTTTAAAAAATTTTGATTTGGACAAATTACTTCTTCACTCCGTCCACTTTTTTTGATGCAAATGTTAGCCTTTGCAAAGGAAAAAATGCTCCGCCCCCTATGAATTTTAAGTTTGTATCTTTTAAGTTTTTTTTTTCCAAAAGTAAGCCCCCTCACTTTCAAAACCATTGCTATGGGCGTGGGATATATTGTTGTTAACCCGTTCCGTCAGTCCTTCGATTCTCTGTCACACAATTTTTTCCTCAAAACACATTTATTTTAAAATCTCTTCGTAAACATGCAATCAGATAAAAAAAGTATTAGTGGAACCTTAGAAATGAGCATTTTTCAGATATCATAATTATTAAAACACATTGGCGTCAGAAGCAAATTGAAAAAGGGGAGCTAAGTGTAATTTTTTATACCTTCAAAAAAAAAACTGATGAGCAAAAAAAAAGGTGGGAATGTCAATTGTTCAAACACGAAAATCCTATTTCGGGGGGGGGGGGGGGGGGGGGGGGGGGGGCTAAACTATGCAGCAATGTCCAATGTCTATATACTGGGTCTATCTTTGAAAAAAAAAAATGGGGGGGGGGGGGGCTAAGCCCCCCACCCCCCGGGTTCCGACGCCTATGAAACATACATTGATATTGTTCATTCTCCCCTGCTTTCTCAAATATATATGGAGAGATTATGTAAAGACAAACATAAATTAGGTTAATACAGTACTGTCTCATATCTTTATCATAATAATAGATATCGTCAAATGCCCGTATATATGCTGTAATTTCCATTAAGTGAGCTATATATAAAAGAGAGGGGTCGAAAAGTTATCCATATTCAAGTGCACATTATTCTATTACAGAAAATCTCGAGACTATTAAAGAATTTATCAGAAATAGCGAGTTCTTAATTTGGTATATACACTGATTTACTGTCATTTTCGATCTTTTCTTCGAAATAGATTGAAACTCAAACTCTCTCTCTCTCTCTCTCAACATTACTTATCTCTCTTTGAAAAGACAACGCATTAATTCTAAGATCTTCAACGACACTTTGATTTCTTTGATCGCACCTTTATATATATTTTCTCCTTTCTGGTCAGTTATATTCATAAATTGTAACTATAGCTATTTAACATTTATCATTTTAAATATGCATACGCGAAATAAGGCATTACATAATTCTATCAGTCAATATTTAGTTCGTAATATTAAAACATGGAAGGTATTTTCAATAAATTCATAAGATGAAAATCCTTGTAAAAACACTTCAAATTCCTACGACAAGTCGCTTTCAGAAGTCTTCGGGATTTTAATCCTATTATTATAAATTCTCTCTTTAACCTCATATGAGGTAAATAAATTGTGAAAATCGAAATAAGGACAGGCTAATATATACATTGCCGCGTTGAGTCTGTGTCTATATCTGCGAAACAAAGATATGTTTATTAATAACACGGCACTAAATTAATTTAGCAAATATGGGTTTTAAACATCTGAAACGAGAATATGCCACTTCAAAAAATCATATTCAGCTAGAGTTTTAGAAGAGATTGATTCACCTCTCAAATCTTAATTCCTTCTTTAGATTTTTTAATGTTATTTATTTTCCACCTGGTCTTATCAATAATATTGCCTCTCTGCACCACGTGCACAATTCTGCAGTTGCAGGGTGATTAACAATTGCCAGAACCATAGTCGCGTGGCAACCAAGAACCCGATTTACCCAGCTTTACGTTAACTCGCCGTCTTTTAGACCCGAGTTCTTTTTTTTACCTGGTTTGCGTATATCAATAAGACTTTTACTTTTTAAAATCGGCTTGTCTATCGATCACGGAGTGTTCTCATATTAGGATTTGTTAAGTGTAATAATTTGTTATCATGGAAGTTTGTGAAAGACCCAGAACTACAGAGTAAGTAATTTATTCATTCTTTTTTTCTTTTTTTGTATTATTTCATATTATTAATTGAATTTTATCGATTTTTTTATTGACATACATGTAAGTCTTTTTTAAGACATTTCAATTCATTCTCAGTTTTATTTCTTTACCAAAGGTCTTTGAAAATCTTTCATTTTTATGTTTAATTATAAGAGTACATGAACCACACTTTCTACTAAGTCTATATAATGTTAAGTTTATTATCGAATCAAGTTGCAGGGTTTTTTTTCGACTTTTAAACTAAAGAACCGTTTGAAAAGTGCCGTTATTCCATGTAATGTGAAATGTAGCCAATAAATTATAATGTATATGTACATAGCATTGAATAGAAATTTTTCACATAGGAGCAGTTTCATTGTTGTCGAAATTTATACAAAAGCCTCAGCACCATGAAATATTGATATTGATGTTCCTGCGGTGCACTAATTATTGATTAAAGAATTGATTGGCATATCATACGAGACATCACGGGTCGTCGATATGTCTTCACGGTTTTTGTATTGTTTAACTGAAGGACGGGCTGTTGATTAAGAAATGATATTTCAGCCATTAAGACAGGGGGCCATTGAATCAGTACTTCCCTCCAAATGTACTTTTGTAAATGTAAAAGGGGGGGGCTCAAACATTTTAATTCTTTCTGCTATACAGGTTTGATTTATTTAATCACAATCGGCCTTCTTTGACTAGCTTTTATGAGAATACGTGTACCCTTAAGTACCATTTTGTTAAGAAAATTATATTGATATCACCTGTGAGGAATGGTCTTTCTTCAATAAGTAAAACCTATTATATTAATAAATTACGGCATTATACGACCGGGTGCATTTTATTGAGCCATTTTAAACCCCTGTAAATCCCTCGTTTACCACTTCTGTCGAGAGAGAAACATTCATTTCAATTGCAATAAGCACACATGAAAATGTTAGTTAATGCATGGCCTGATAATCGGTTCAAAAGGAAAAAATGCCAATGTGCATTAAGTTTAATAATCAAGACAAAATGTTCATACCATAACCCGAAGGCTGCACCTCTAGAAATAAATCTATAAAAAAATGTTTTTTATTCATATTCATAGGTGTAAAATACAGGTATAGCTCTTGCATAAGAGAAGGGGGTTGTTATATGGATTTTTGTAAGACCCCACACAATATGAATTCATCGAAAATATTGTTTTACTTCACTTTTTTGATACTTTCTCTTTATTTATTTTTTTTTTAAGTTAACCTAGTAAACATACATTTTGGATTCACGCCCGAAACTAACCCCCAAGCAATCTGTGTATTTGACCCAAGTATCCCTCATTATTCCCGGACTATTTAGATTGGCCAAGCACCCCATTCCTTTAAGTACAACATAATCTTATCATAATCCACTGTTTAAATCAGTTGATTGAATACATGATGAATGTCATGTCTGTAAAGCTTTTCATTTCTAGCGAAATATCTGAGGTGCCATTTAAAATATTGACAGGTTCTCGGCGATAGATTGGATACGAGTTTTTTGAAAAGCAGTTCATAAGAACATCTTACGCAACGCATTAGTTTTGAAGAAATGTGTGTGTCTACTGCATAAAGCAGTAAATAAGAGTGTCAGTGGCTTATCAAATCCCCCCTCCTGTTTTTTTTAAATGGGGTTATGCAATTTTTAGAAATCTAATGATTTTGTAACATTTATATATAATAGATATGATTTCAGGTTAAACAATCAATCTCGTCTATTAATGTGCATATACGATTTAATTCTGACCTACTTTCTATTGTAAAGGGTGTTTCAAATGAGGTCATCTTCGATGCTTTGTATGGTGTATTTTACATAAGTCCCCCACCAATGCATATTAACTGTGCAAATATTTAAAACCACTTGTTATTAAATTAAGAATGGAAAATTGACATTAAAAAAATATAAAGACTTTTAAAAGCTTTTAACCTTTTTTCATTACATGTCACCGTTTCAATATTTCCTGTATAAAAGAGGGGCTTTTTATTTTCCTCTTTATTCCACTTTCTGGAGCTACGCTTGCCAAACAATCGAACATTAAGACAAAATCATTAGTAAATACGCATATATAAATACAGATAAATAGTGAGAAGTGGCGCCATATTCTTTAATTATTAATGTGTAAGGTATAAACTATAGAGTTCACTGTTAAAGAACGCCTCCAAAAAAGAGCTGATTTTCATGAGCATTTCTTGTACTTGTCTTCAGTCCTGTTTAGCCAGTTGATGGAAAGTATTCATTTTAAATATGTATAAAGTTAACGTATGTGATCTTTGGATCATTGACATATGTTATGCTATCCTAACTTGTCTTCAGCCCTGTTTAGCCAGTTGATGGAAAGTATTCATTTTAAATATGTATAAAGTTAACGTATGTGATCTTTGGATCATTGACATATGTTATGCTATCCTAACTTTGAAAACTAATTTACCATCTACTTCAGCCAAGAGATAAAAAAAATTTTAGTTGTATTTTTTTCTCTTTTAAATGCTATTTTATCAACCTCATGCTTTTAAATTATACTAATTTTATAAATGGGGTCTTAAACATATACTTCATCAATCATGTCCCGTTTTGATTTCATGATTTGTATCTTCAGGTCCATTTATGCTCCGTCCCCAGATCTCGACCCAATTATAGAAAGAATGTCGAGATCTCGCGAAGGCGAGAGGTACTAGTATCAATCTATTTTTGCCACAAGAATACGAATTATATGTGTACACATATATGCGCACAAAATCAGTTCTATTCTCGGATTTTGTTTGGGGGGTAGGGGTGATTGATAATTTTCATATGTTTTACGTGCAACAGAGAGCTGAAATGATTTTGTCCATCTGAATCACGTGTCAACAAAATGTACTCACATTTTTCTCTTGCAACAAGCGCAACTTCAAATTTTGCTTTGTAGATTATATCAAATGTGTGGAGTTTTAAGCTTATTTTGGTATTCCATTTTATCAAATTGTATTACATGTATCATCTGAATTTAAAAATAAGTTAATTAAGATAAGAAAAAAGCAAGAAAATCACATGTACAATCCACAATTTTTAAATACTTTATGCACATGCAGAAAAAAACTGTCACATTTTTACTATGCCAAATCACCAAATCACTTTATGTGCCTAGCACAATTTATATTAAAATAAATTGGCACAATCCACAGTTTTTTTTTTATTTTTGTTATTGAAATTCATTGTGCACCTATGTTTTAATTGTTCCACTTAATTCTCTCCATGCACTGGACCACTGCCATTCCTGTTGTCAAATACCCCTTTGACAAACATTCAAGTCATAGTTTGGAATAATTTTCCATCTCATCTTTTACTTTACCGGAGAGATGTGTCCAGTCGACGGGGGATAAACATTCCTCCCTGGCACGTGAACCCATGTCTCCATTTTTGATCTGCTCCTGATTTGTATTTTTAATGGACTTTTGATTTACTGGTTGTGATAGAATGCTTCTTGCATATAAAATGAAGGTATGGCAATTTGCAGTTATATACAGAGTTGTGATTATTTTGTATTACTACTAGGGTGTATATATTATACATGAAATAAGAAACAAGAGGCCCACGGGCCTTACAGGTCACCTGAGTAACATGTAACAACTTTCCAACAATTGAATTTGGTTCGTGTTTTAAATCAGAGGCCATGAAATTCACAATTTTGAAAAAGGCACCATTATTATTGCTTAACATAATTAAATACTTAGCATGCTTACTCTACTTACTTGATATCCAGAGATAGATCAAAGTAACAAAGAAAAAATGCATTTCCACTTTATAACCATTTGTGCACCCTACCCACAGGAACCACTGACCATGGGGCCACATATTTCAAAAGTTTGGAAATTTTATAATAAATTTTATTTCATCATAAATGGTTGATTAATACATGTACTAAAGAGCAGATTCAAAGCATTAATTTGTTTTCAGACTATGACCCCCCCCCCGTTACCCCTCACCCAGGGGGTATGAAATTGACCATTTTGATAGATGCACCTTTCATCATCATAAATATATATACTTAGATCATTGGCATAATACGTAGGAGCAAAGGAAAAGATTTTCAAAGAATTAATGTATTTTCACTATATTATGATAAGAGTCCCACCCTAACACCAGAACCACTGACCCAAAGGCCATGAATTACAATTTTGGAGGAGGCACCCTTTCTCATTATAACTATGTACATAGTTCATGGTTTAATACCTAGGAGCAAAGAAGAAGATTTTTAAAGAATTAATATATTTTCACTACAAAGTCAAAAGAGCCCCCTTTTCACCAAAATCCCTGACCCAGGGGCCATGAAATTCACAAATTTGCTCATTATAACTATATACTAAGTTAGTTTATTAAATACCCAGGAGCAGAGAAGATTTTTGGAGAATTAATGCATTTTCCCTACATAATCAATACAGCCCCGCCCTACAACCAGAAGCCCTGACCCTGGGGCCATAATCTAAAATTCATAATTTTAGAAAACACTCTTGCTCATCCTTACTATATACTTAGTAAGTTCGTTTAATACCCAGGAGCGAAAAAGAAGATTTTTCAAAAAAATTAATCTATTTTCACTATATAACCAAAGGAGCCCCCCTTTCACCAAAACCCCTGACCAAGGGGCCATGAAATTCACAAATTTGGTTGAGGCACTCTTGGTCATCATAACTATATACAAAGTTAGTTTATTTGATACCTAGGAGCAGAGAAGTAGATTTTTGAAGAATTAATGTATTTTCACTATATAATCAATATAGCCCTGCCCTAACAGCAGAACCCCTAGGCCTGACCCTAGGGCCATAAATTTCACAATTTTGGAAAATGCACTCTTGTTAATCACAACTATGTTCTTAGTTAGTTTTGTTTAAGACCCAGGAGCAGAGGAGAAGATTTTCAAAGAATAAATGTATTTTCACTGTAGAATCAAGAAAAACCCGCCCTAACACCAAAACTCCTGACCCAGGGGCCATGAAATTCACAATTATCGAAGAGGCACTCTTGGTCATCATAAATATGTACTTGGTTCGTTTGTTTAGTTTCCAGGAGCAGAGAAGAAGATTTTCAAAGAAATAATGCACTTTTACTATTTGATCTATATAGCCCCACCCTAACACCAGAACCCTGACCCAGGGGCCATGAATTTCGGTAGAGGACTCAATGCTGATTATAATCATGCCAACAGTACTAGTTTGATTGCTTAATATCCAGGAGTAAAGAAAATGATTTTTAAAGATTGCATTAATTTTAGTGGTTTTGGCCCCACCCCTCATGCCCCAGGGGGGCAGGGACATGAAATTCACAATTTTTGCTACCTTCACCCATAGATACTGTATACCAAATTTGGTTGAAATTGGTTGAGTGGTTCCAGGGAAGAAGCTAAAAATGTTCAAATGTTAACACACGACGAACGACGCACGACGACGGACGAAAGCGGATAGCAATAGGTCACCTGAGTTTACTCAGGTGACCTAATAAAAGGGTTCTGTAATAACGCTCTGTCATATGTCATTCTGATGTTACACGTGTCTGCGAATCACCAAAGTTGAAGATTTTTTTTTTAAATTAGATCAATCGTGAAGGTCATGGATTCAAAAATCATAGCATGCTCAAAAATACCTTGTCACAGGTAATGCAGATGTCAGATATAAAAGTTCTATCTCTACTCAATCAGAAGTTTTAGGGAAAAATATCATTTTTGAAAAGTAGGCCAAACTTCAAGGTCAAGGTTACGACAAAAATCATAGTGTATTTAGAAAGGCCTTGTCACAGGCAAAACACAAGTTTAATGTGAAAATCCTATCTTTTCATTCAAAAGTCATGACCATGGTCAAAGTTGTTTGAAAAGTAGGTCTAACTTCAAGATCAAGAGGTTAAAAATCATAGTGTATTTAGAAAGGTCTTGTCACAGGTAATACAGTTGTTTGATACGTGAGCCCTATCCTTTCTTATTCAAAAGTTAGGGTACCTGTAAAGTGCGAAACGAAATAGAAACGAAACGAACTGAAACGAAACGAAATCTGCCGAAACAAAAAATCTATAACGAAACGTAAAACGAAACGAAATCAAGACGAAACGAAACGAAATCAAAACGAAACCTGCCGAAATTAAACGAAATAAAACTATCAAAATGTTTTTTTCTTCAAATCAAAGTACATGTATATAATTATATATGTGTAACTGCATGTGGACTTTTTTTTACTTCAAATAAAATCTATATAGTTCAATCACTTGTTAATATAAAATTAAATTACCGATAAATTATGCTCCCTTCTCAGTCTAATGATGTATTTACATGTTTGCCAACTGCAAATATGCACGAGCGTACTATGCATGTATAATTTCAATATGTGCAGTATTTTTATATCGTACTCTTATTTTCAATCCTTATTTATCTAGATACAACATATATGTTTCAAAATTAATGCATTACATGTAAAGACTCAATGTACGTGAAGGTCACTGTACTGTTAATTGTATTGCGAATGTCTTAAAACCTATAAACCAGAAACTTTGTATTTAGTATCCCATTCCGAGGTGTCTGGTTTTATAGTTCAATTATACATGTAACTCCAACCGGAATCTTGTGTATCCTTTCTACAAACATACGGTCATATTTTTGTTGGGTAATTTTCGAAAAGAAATTTTTGCAAAAAGAGGCTCAAGAGAAGTCTAAAACGATTTAACAGACAAGATAAAAGTCTCTCGAAAAACGATGTCATTTTTAAGTGTATTTAGAAAGGCCTTGTCAAAATATAACAAAGGCGTCGGAAGCGGGGGGAACACAAGCTAAGATGTTTATTATATAGGCATTGAAAATTGGGGTTGACCTTTTTTGGTAAAGCCCCCCCCCCCCGACACACACATTCAATTTCCTTCCCACGCCTATGTATGAGCTTGAAGCGAAACAATTGCCTGTGGTGCTTGAACTATATAAATTTCATATGAAGAAAAAATAGACCATATGGAGTTACACATTATATAAACAGCATATAACTACATGTATATAGCTTGATTTGAAAAACATTCTAAATAGTTTTGTTTCGTTTCGTTTCGGAAGGTTTCGTTTTGATTTTGTTTCGTTTCGTTTCGTTTCGGTAGGTTTCAGTTGTTTGATATTTCGTTTCGTTTCGGTAGATTTCGTTTCGTTTCTATTTCGTTTCGCACTTTACAGGTACCCGAAAAGTTATGGCCAATTGAAAGTAACGTTTAATTTTTTATTTAAAGTAGGTCAAACTTCAAGGTCCTGTGTGATATGAAAGCCCTGTCTCTTCTCATTCAAAAATACGACCAAGATTAAAGTTTTTTGTGACGGACGGACTGACGGACAAATGAGATTTAACGTCCCCTGGTAAATAAATAAATAGAATTTGTGCACATAGTTCGGACTGGGTTTCCACCAATTACCATTTCACGAAGTATCATTAAGATTTCATTTCTCATAATCTTTTACTTATATAAATATCATGGCAAGTTATATATAACTATACACGTAATTTAAGCTATATCTGAAGAAGATATTTTATCCACGCTTTATACCCAAATATTAGAAGTGATTAATATCACATAGAAATTAATTTAAGTGTAATTATTTTCATAACAGTTTTGAATCTGGTATAGATATACTGTACCCTTCATACATATTGATATACTGTACCCTTCATACACAGTTCTCAAGATGTATGACATTTCTATAAGAATCGCCATCACTCACCTCCTCTAGGAAATGCATGGTTTCAATTCAATCTAGTAAAAAAAAGAAAAAAAGAAAAGATTTTCAAAATAAAGAAAATAATTAAAAGATCCTTACGTTAACTACTTAATATTTTATTAGAACTGACAAGTTGTAAAATCTCACGTTTCCCTTTGATATAAAGTTTCAAGAGAAGAAATCAATCAGTGAACACAAATTTAAGAAATTTAATTAATACCTTTGGATTTTATTATTCTTAATGAAACCAAACGCAGGATTATTAAGAGCGAGAAAAAAATAACATTTTAAAAACCATCGGCAGAATTGACAAGATCTAAGGACATGAGATAATAGACACCGAACCCGATAAGAATTGTTCGTGCTTGAATGCATTCTGGGTAATGAATAGGCGCTGCTTTGTTTTGCTCGTCTGCAGAGTAGTATTGATTGTCGTCATATGAATATCAATGATTCAATTCAATGAATGTTCATATATTTAATACCTAAACGTAAAAAGAAACAATATATACAAATATTTATATACAAGCAACTACAAGAGGCCCAAAGCGGTTTATTGGTTTTAGCAATAAATTCTGACCTAGGAATTTAACATATGATTTTTTTTAAAGAATAAATTAAAGTTTTACTTACATATTTTTATCTTTCGAATCAATTAAATAAATTTTATATAAATATGTAAATAAATAAAAAATAACATGTAAGTGACTCGGTAAAATGAAAATAAATTATAAAGTGATTAGATTTGATTTCTATTAAAATTATTTGCAAATTATACAAGAATTTGAAGAATGCATTATTCGTATGTTTTACGTAACTCCAGTGTCCTATTTCAACAACTGACAAAATCTGCATCGCTTCCATTAGCTGTGCACATTGTGAAATGCATGTATGCCAGTGTGTTCAATGCACAAACTCCGCTGAGATTTACCTGAAATAATTTAATTAATCTAATAAAATTTGAAGCAATAGATTAACCACACTTTAAAATAAAATATCCCGCTGAGACCGTCATTAGATTTAAAAGCATTTAAACTAGAACCCACAAGGCCCCTGTGATAAGTTGTCTTTATTAACAAATGGTGGGCCTCCCCCATGCATTGATAGTTCCGTTTCCTTTGCATTATCCAGCATAGTTACAAATGAGTACAACAAACTGATTAGCTGTTCTGTTCCATAAAATACTAGATTGTTAACATTTTGGAGTTATTTGTCTTGTGTAAAATGAATGAAACTGGACTAACAAATGAGCAAATGAAACGGTAAGGTTTTATTATCTGGACATTAATTGTTCACTTCAGATTTTTGATAAACGTTTCTTGCAGTGAGTTTGTTTCATTGTCTTTAAATGTTATAAAGATCCACATCGATTCAGATGGTCTTGATGAAACTGCAGTTTCGTTTTACAACCCCTAAATATTTTGTTCAAGAAAAAAAGTAAATGAGTCGATAACATAAGTGACGTTATATACTATATATGCTCAATTATGACGTCACAAAGAAAAGCGTAATTGTGACGTCACAAAGAAAAGCGTAATTGTGACGTCATACGTAATTGTGACGTCATACAGAGGAATTTAATGGAAATTGCATAGAGATGGGGTCGTATGAAATAAATTTGCTAGAAAATGATTTTCCAGCAATCCATACTGAAAAAGAAAAGTAAGTGATTTTTAAAAAAAAAAAAAACTTTTTTACATGGACGGTGACAAGATTCTTTTGACAAAGTCGATGGATCACTTTCTTCAGCGAATGACCAGATTGTTTCTTTTGTTTACAATGAAAATTGGCTGTCTGCAAGATATTTATTTCTGAAGGAGGAGAGGAAGTAAAAGAGGAGGGTGTGGGAGTGATGGCAGTGGATTAGTTAAGGCATTACAGTACATTGTACTATACACTTTGGCTGACACTATTGTTCTATGAAATTTGTCTGATTAACGAAACAAAATGTGATTTCATTTTGATCCATACTGAAAAAGAAAATAAAAGTATTAGGGTTTAAGAGTCTGGCATGTAAGAGGAAATTTAATTTCATGACTGTAGAGACCCGCAATACTCGATGTACTTAATTGGTTTTCGGAAATGAGGTTTTATATCTATATTATATATACTTTGCTTATTGAAGAATCCATTTAATTTATTGATTGAAACTATGATCTGTAACTATATATACGCTTATTCTTACTTATTTAGAAAAAAAATTGATGCGTACATTAATTTAGCATGCATGTTGCTGTAATGCATTTTGTTTTGCTTTCTTTTATTGTAGAATGACCTTTTGGTCAAGATACGATCCAATCAGACAGGTGAAAGGGAACTGTACTGACCACTGGGCCAAATACAGACAACAGGTAAAAAAATATAGGGAATAAAGAATCACTTACATGTATAATTAATACATACATACAATATATAGGTACAAAACAGTGTATAAGGAATTACTTACATGTACAGTTTATACAAACTACATCGGTTAAAGTTTTATTAACAGTAAAATAAAAAACAAACTTTTTGGTCATCTTTACTTAGTTTCCCTTGCTTTGGAATACCCCACACAGAAATAACTTGCAATAATGCAAAATATAAAGAAAGATCTATAGAAATTAGATTTCAACATATTATTGTTATCTACATGGCATCTGAATCTGTTTTATCCTATATTATCCATGTGAATCTGTGCAATTTGAAGCAATGTCGGCGTAATTTCTAACTTTTAAACCAGTTTAGTTTGAATTGTAATGCAGAATGTACCAATGGTCTCCTTAATATTTACCAAGAACTTTACAAATTCCCAATATCGAGCAAACGTAACCCAGCATTCAAAGCAGGTGGTGTTTTTACGATTGAATTATCACCATTTCCCACATAGAATTCTATATCAGGGACTAATTTTCTAAAGAATAACTATCAACACTTTCAAAAGATTTGCCTTTTATTTGCTTTTATTCCCTCGGGCCACGTCCAAGAGGTTTATTTGTACCAACTGAAAAAAAAGTAAAAGGTCCTTTTAAATTGTTGAAAATGTGTACAATAAAAGTGCAATTAGATTTAAAGAGGTTATGTTATCGAGAAAACGCTGACAATTAAAAGACAAATGCATTTGTTATCGGCCAGAACCTCGCAGACGACATCGGCAAATATTTACCAAAGGATCTCATTATCTTCTGCTATTCTCTAAATCACAATATGGCTGTCGAGCATACTTCTGATCAAGATTTCTTTCAAATGCTCGATTTCAAAATTTAAACTTCGAATACATTGAGATAGTGAGAGAAAGAAGTTGAGGAACTCAAATTTCACGTAGTAGTTCCATATAATTATGTATTAAATTAATTACTTTTTTTTAACAACCAACGAGACTTGTGCTATGTCTCGATCAGCGTTGTCCCGAAGACCCGGGGCATATAAGACCCGGTTATTCTTGCTTCCCCCTTATCCCCTGTTAGAGGGGAACCCCAGTCCCCCTTCTATTTTTAAGCTCTCTGCTATTTCATTTCGTCTGGGCACAGTGGTTAGAGCATCTGCTCTAGAATCACGGGTTCGAATCCAACTGTGGGACGTGGAGACCCACATGTCTTTTAGATATCGTATAAACCAGGTCCCGTGTATCAGTTGATACTGGCACAAAAAAGTTCCCTCTCCGCTCAATGGCCAATAGAGCCGAGCACAGGCAAAATTGCAGCTCTCCATCGGCAAGTATGGTGCTTTTTTAGGGGGAGAGATGTTAAACAATAAATAGACATCGGCTACATAAAAGTTACTGTAAATTTATGCTCTGACTCCAAGGAAGGGAGGCATATCTGTCAACAGACCAAGGTTTCCGACAAATAGCTCCTGGTTGTGATGGTATCTTGATCACTTCATGCATACCTTGGTTGATTGTAGATTGATTTTCTTGACAAAAGGTCATGGTCACCAACAACGATTTCTAGATTTACTGTTCTGTTTATCCAGGTCAGATTCCAAACAATTTCTGTCAGTTCTGGCGATGTTCATCAAACTTCATTTACAGACTGGTTACCGAAAAATAGATGACCTTGTTATCCGCTGTAGAGAGTTCAAAGGTCAAAGTGTCTGTCCTTTATTGTCTATTTCAGTATCTTGTTATCCCTTTACTTTAAGGTTAAAGAACTTCACAAGAAATATGACAGTAGCTAGATACCATTGTACTCTCTTGTTGTGGAATAGGGAGAAAAACCTAACTGTATTGCACATCAACTGGTTTAAAACTTTTTTGAAAAAAAATCAAGATCATTATAGTGATTGCCTAGTCGGTAATAGTTCAGCCTTATTCATTAAAATGCATGCAAATGAACATTTACAAAATAATGATTTGACGTTCGTCCATATATCACATGATACGCACAACTTCATCTTTCTTTGGAGTATTTACTAATAATAGGTAAATTTGGATATCAAGCTGATGTGCATAAATTTATCCATTGAAAAAAAATAATAGGTGTTGAAGTACAAACGATCACGGTGAAATATGTGACCCATTATAAATCTGACCTAGTTAACAGACCATAATCTCTTAAGCTATCATAAGGGATCAGTCACATTTGTTTCTTTACAACAAGATTAAAAATGGAGATTATAAAGATTTAAATTTCTTACAAACAATTGTTCACCTCTTCTACTCCGGTTACCGCATTGTGGGGGACTAGTAATACACATTCCCAGTGTTGGAACGCGATACACCGAGCAGACGTGACCACGTTATGTTATCTGTTTTCTGTAGATACAGCATTCTTGTAATAAACATAACGTACAAATGTATACAAACAGCATTTCTTAATAAAAAAAAATATATTATGCCCCCGGATCGAAAGATCCGTGGGGTATATTGTTTTTGTCCTGTCTGTCTGTCTGTCTGTTTTTCTGGTCTGTCCGGCTGTTGTAAACTTTAACCTAGCCCATAACCATTGAGCCGGTGGGTCTGTGGCTTTCATATTTCACAGGTGTATTCCTTGTGACAAGACCTTTCTTTTGGTGCCACCAAATTTGACCTCTTGACCTTGGAGTTTGACTTACTTTTACAAAAAACCCACACTTTTACCTTGCAAATAACTTTTGAACAGTTGGAGCTAGGGCTTTCAAACTTGACATGTGCATTTATGTGATAAGATCGTTCAGCTGGTGTAGATATTTTTGACTTTTGACCTTGACCTAAGATTTTGACTCACTTTTAAAAATTTAACTTCGGTCATAACTTTTGAACAGTTAGAACGAGATTTTTCATATTTCACAGGTGTATTCCTTGTAACAATTTTAAGACCTTCCTTTGCAAACCAACACTTTTGACCTTGACCTTTCGTGTTTGACATGCATTTGAGAGAATTCAACCCTCGCCATTAGCTGCCATACGAAGGAATCAGTGTTTCACAAACACATCTTGTTTTAAGAGGTGTTTCCATTTCATTTTAATAATATTATTTCTGGTGATTCTTTTCTCCACATTTAAATCCTTTTATTGTATTGTTCTTGGTGATTTGACTCTTTTTTCTTGGTTATACATGTATATTTAATTTTCGCGTTTTCTCCACAAGCACTTGTTTCTTTAAAAAAAAAAATCCATAGTTTAATAATAAGGGTTAAGAATCTTATTATACAAGATGTGTTTGTGAAACAGTATGCGCCCGGCGGCAACAAATTTTTTTTAAAGCTATTTTTAGCAAATATGTCACAGTCAAGGTCATTGACCTTGGTATCATTTGAAAGAAATTGATTAGTAAAGTATGGATGCCAAATATGAAGTCTCTATATCTCTTGTGGTTCAAAAGTTGTGGCAAAGGTACGAAAAAATATTTTTAGCATAAAGGTCACATTCAAGGTCACAAGGCCAATGACTTTGTGTCATTTGAAAGGCTTAGTTAGTGTAGTATGCATACCAAATATGAAGTCTCTTTTTCTATGGTCAAACTGAAAGTTATGGCAAAGGTAAAGTGCTTGGTAAAAAACTATTTATATAAAGATAGAGGTCAAAGTAAAGGTCACAAGGTCATTGACCTTCATGTCATTTGAAAGGGCTTAATTAGTGGAGTATGCAGACCAAATAAGAAGTCTCTATCTTTCATGATTCATAAGTTATGGCGAAGGTTAAAGTTTGCAGATAAAAAGCTATTTTTAGCATAAAGGTCACAGTCAAGGTCACAATGCCATTGACCTTGGTGTCATTTGAAAGAGCTTACTTAGTGGCGTATGTATACCAAATATGAAGTTTCTATCTTTCTTGGTTCAAAAGTTATGGCGAAGGTTAAAGTTTGCAGACAAACAGATAGACTGACAGACAGACAGGACAAAAACAATATACGCCCCGGATATATCGATCCTGGCGCATAAAAAAGAAGTGCCTGTGGTTTTCTCCCAAGCTTTCTTTGGTTGTCTCTAAATTCTGCCCTGTCTCCTTTAATCAATAATTCATGGGGCTTTTTAAAATGTCAAAATAAGAAAAACATATTATTTTTCATTTGGAAAGAAGCATTTTAACTTTTTTAGTTAATTAGTTTATTACATTAAACAATTGTTAATGTGGTTTGTATTGTTAACATCCTTTTCCCTTTTTTTCAGACAGGTAATGTATACCATTATTAGCAGACTGCACGTGAGTATGCGAGTAATGAATACAAGTACAATAGAACTCATTTGCACTCCATAACATCAGCAAATTAAACTTCAAAAAGTCACTATTTCACACAATAAGGCAATATATGTTATCGTTTATTCAATTTGTGAAATCTTAAAATGACATCATCAACACATTACTCACAATTTATCTGTTTATGTACTTGTAATCGTTATCGGTGAAGGGAGTTGAAAGCAGAGTCTTTAATTTTATTTTGAAATTAGCAGTTTAAGATTATGAGTGAAATTGGTATTTAATCAAGAGATAACAAGTAGCATGAATGAATGCGCACAAGTAAAAATTCTTGGAATTTCAGTCGAACACTTTTACGTCTTCCAAAGTTCTATTGTTTACAACAAAAGAAGACACAAAAGTTTAGAAATACATTGAATTTAGATTTAATTTTGGTGTTGAGAAAATTTTACTTATTAAGTGGAAAATATTAATTATGCAAAGTACAAATAAGGACTGCATGTGCATGTTCAACTGTGCAAATTTTAATTTTTAAAATGTCTATAAATTATTTTTATGCGGGGAATTACTTTGTTTCAGCATCAATTCATGCTACAGCTATAGGAGCTAGCTAGATATATACAGTATGATATAAACCCCAAATAATAATAAAAACGATCCTGGCTCCTTAGTTCTATTCGGATTCTAACCTACTAATTCATTGGACTAATTCACGTGTGAACATTTAAGATAACTATAATTATTGTGTAATCAGGGAAGGTGATGGGTACAAATTGTGCGCTACTTTGATGGGCCATGTTCTGATTTTGCTGTTCTGCTCTAAAACCATAGTCCGGATTTTGATGTACTGTAAGTTAGAACTCCAAGAAAAATAGTCAAAATGTTTATTTTCCTATGATATGTGAAGTAAAAGTGAAATTTCAATCCTTAAAGTTAATTACATATATATTCGACGAAATGTGTTAATAATATTTTTATTCGAAAAATAAATGTCTTTGTTTGGAATATAAATTTTGATTTTGAACCTAAACGTGTGCTTAGAGCTAGTGTGTGTTCTTTCCTTATTTTTAAACTAAAATCAATAGGCCAACAGGACAGTAAAATAACATGGGACATCTAATGTTTTACAGCGCAACGCGCTCAACAAAGGGCCAGGGTTGTTAGTTACGAACAGGGTAGAAACATTCCTTATAAAGAGAAAACTTTTGATGAATTGGTTGTAGATGGTCTTAGAGGGTCCATGCCCGGTGCGTATTCCAGTAGCCGACCCAAGAGCACGTATAACAAAGCCTTTTACAGGAATGTGTTCTCAGATCGAGCAAAGGACGGCTTCCGGTATTGGCTGATAGAACGTCCTAAACCAACAAGTTGTAAGTATACAGACTGGAAGTGTGCGATTTTTTAACCGGAAGTGTGCGATTTGTTAACCGGAAGTTGATTTATGTTAACCGGAAGTTAATTGGTTTGACAGGATTGGTAATACTGATAAATGTACGTGATATTGGTGAATGCTGGTATATTAATCAATAATAGAATTTTGCATCTTGTATAGTTTTTAGCTCTACTGGTCAGAGACCAGAAGAGCTTATGCGATAGTAATGCGTCCGTCGTCCGTCCGTCTGTCTGTCTGTCTGTCTGTCTGTAAACATTTTTTCAAAATGCTACTCCTCCTACAGTTTTGGTCTGATTTCAACATAACTTGGCACACAAGTAGACTACACTAAGATACAAAATTCTGTGTATCGGTTTTTGATTTCGATGAACGGTGTTGCCGTAGTTACTAAAAATAGAAATTTCTGTGAAATTCTTTCAAAATGCTACTCCTCCTACAGTTTTAGCTGATTTCAGTATAACTTGGCACACAAGTAGACTACACTAAGATACACAATTCTGTGTATCGGTTTTTGATTTCGATGAACGGTGTTACCGTGGTTACTAAAAATAGAAATTTCTGTGAAATTCTTTCAAAATGCTACTCCTCCTACAGTTTTAGTCTGATTTCAATATAACTTGGCACACAAGTAGACTACACTAAGATACACAATTCTGTATATCGGTTTTTGATTTCGATGAACGGTGTTGCCCTGGATACTAAAAATAGAAATTTCTGTGAAATTCTTTCAAAATGCAACTCCTCCTACAGTTTTAGTCTGATTTCAATATAACTTGGCACACAAGTAGACTACACTAAGATACACAATTCTGTGTATCGGTTTCTGATTTCGATGAACGGTGTTGCCGTGGTTACAAAAAATAGAAATGTCTGTGAAATTCTTTCAAAATGCTACTCCTTCTACAGTTTTGGTCCGATTTCAATATAACTTGGCACACAAGTAGACTACACTAAGATACATAATTCTGTGTATCAGTTTTTGATTTCGATGAACAGTGTTGCCGTAGTTACTAAAAATAGAAATTTCTGTGAAATTCTTTCAAAATGCTACTCCTTCTGCAGTTTTAGTCTGATTTCAATATAACTTGGCACACAAGTAGACTACAATAAGATACATAATTCTGTGTATCAGTTTTTGATTTCGATGAACGGTGTTGCCGTGGTTACTAAGAATAGAAATTTCTGTGAAATTCTTTCAAAATGCTACTCCAAATACAATTTTAGTCTGATTATAATATAAATGTGGCATGCAAGTAGACTGCACTAATAACATAAAGAGACTCAATCAAGGATCATTATTCTATTTATTGCTGTTGAAAAGTTTCAATTTCCAACTGCTTAAGTACTTTTCTCTTCCTTTGCTATAAGTACAAACCAGTAGAGCTTCAGTCTCGACAGAGACTTCTGGTTATTTATTGCCACTTATGTAATGTTGCAAAGGAATAACTATGTGTATTAAATTTGTCATATAACCATTATATAATCAAGATAGATGAGTTTGTCAGTCGGGAGCTTTTAATGATATACAAAAATGAGTTGGGTCAACCTTTAATGGGACAACGAGAAACATTTATTTTGGAGACACGAGTATACTTTTAGAAGAGTTTCAGATGATCGTCATAATATTTCAGATGCTTTTTTGAGCTTTGTCCCCTTAAAGAGACCCTTTTCATTTTTGCCTACTTGAGAACATTTTCCGAAAGCAGAATCAAATACAATTTAAACATTTTGCTAACTTTTCTATTTGTAAAAACAAAATTGATTTTATGGTGAGTAATGCTTATTTGTATGTTGATCACATTTAAAACTTCTACAAATTATGAAAGTGTTCTCAGCATGCTTTTAACATCTGCTGCTTGATTAATCTGCTGTTTTCTTGTAGTCGGAAAATACGGAATGGGTTCTTATAAAACAGTTCTAGGGATTGGAAACGCCCCAAGGACGTGATGTGAGTCACGTGACTATGTCATTCAGACTCGTGTTTGATTAGTGTTCTTCTTTCCATAACATCAAAATTATAAGTATTAATGAATGTACATGTACCATTAAATATTTTGCACCTTTAATTTAGTATACGTCAATATTTGGAAATTCTGTAAATAATTGAAAGGAAATTGTAAAAATTCAGAATGTTTCTTTTATACTTATTTCAGTTTTTTCAAGAATAAATTCTAAATTGCATAGCAGTTAACAGACAGATCAAATAAAAAATTACATTTTCTACCTCCTTTTCCTTTCTACTTTCTTTTTCATTCTAAGATTCATTATTTATTTTTCAGTTGGCCGATACAGTGTTGGTGCCGCTCATTCAGTGTTAGGACTATGTAATGCTCCACGAACTTAATTTATATTATTTATTTATTATTTTTATATAGTTATGTTTATTTTATTTTTCAAAATGCACTATTGGTATATAAATATTAGTTTTCAAGGAAGCAGACATCGTTTTATATTGTTAAAAATTGTTGAAAAAGCATAATTATTTAAGCGGGGTGTGATTCATTATAAGTAGATCTTGCACTTTGTCAGCCATTTTGTATTTTGGTGTTATTGTAAATACTAGTAAACAAGCCCTTTAGCGGCAGCTTGCCATGATAAAAAAAAAGGTTAAAACTTGGTTTTAAAAAAACAAAAATTAATGTTTTTTCTTGAATTGGGGGTAAAAGTAAATTCAGTATTTGTTTTTGTAATTTATTATGTGTATACTGTGATGCCTTCTCGTTCGATTTATCCTTTGGGGCGACATTCTTACCACCACAGTATTAGTTTGTATATATCTCTCTCTTTAGATTAATTAATGATTTTAATAATTATATAATATACACATATGTAAGTAATTTAGATAATTTCTACGATGTGTTAGATTTACACCTAATCATTCTTGTATGTAAATCATAATTAATGCAATTTTTCAATAAAGGAATTTAAAGTTACATGTACGTATATTGTTTGAAATTTCCTTGACCTTTGCTTCACATTCTAATCACTACATGAGCATGCACATGTATGTATGCATGAGAACACCAATCATACCTGGGTATGCCATTCAAGTAATCACCAAAGTTTTAATTATATATATAAAAAAAAATAAGGTCAATCCTGAAGGTCAAGGGGTCAAAAATCCATAGGATGCTCGGAAACATTTTGTTACAGGTAATGCACATGTTAATATGAAAGCCCTATCTCTTCTCAATCTAAGGAATAAGGAACATTTTGAGAAGGTCATTTTCATGGTCAAAGTAACATGGTTAAAAGTATAATACACTTATAATGGTCTCGTCACAGATAAAATACATGTATAATTATAATGAAAGCACAATCTTATATCTTTTAAAAGTTATGACCAACTTAAAGTAATGGTAAAAAGTTTGAAAAGTAGGTCAACTTCACGGTCAGGGGGTCGGAAATCACTATGGTAGTATATTTATAAAGGTCTTGTCACAGGCAATTTACATGTGAAAAATGAAAGAAATGTGAAATCTTTTTGTCATTCAAAAGTTATGTCAAAGGAAAAAAGATCAAATCGATGAAAAAAGATTTCACAATAAATGAACCTTTCCATCTTCGCTCCAAGGGTTACCGATCCTTACCCTAATTTGTAGGGTTTTTTTAATCTTGAGAATACGTAAGTCTGAAATGAAACATAAACTAGTAGACAATGAAAAGTATTCAAGCTCAAAAAGCTTAAAACGATACAAAATACTACTCATTTGACAAATGATAAATTGTTTAAATCATCATTTCGTAAATTTTGTGGGCGATACAATGATCTTCATTGTATCGACCATAGAAATTACAAAATGATGACTTTAAACGAGACAAGATATTCTTGTTTCATCAACTTGTTTGTCAATAATTTACCTCGCTTTTTAGAAATTGTTCATACGTAGAGTATGCTCTTGCATATCAAATCAACTGAGATATATAAACTCCGTATGCAGTTGATGAAAAATAGATCTGCTAATAACGGGGTGCAATTGGTATCCATGGGAATTCCATTAGATTGTTGGAAGACCTGGTCTCCAAAAACCACAAATTAGATATTAATTGTCAATCAGAAACTCAAGCTTTTTTTTTGATGTCATCTTCAGAGTACAATTAGAATGTTTTTTTAATAAAATAATTTTGCAAATGACCAATGACAAGGTAAGTAAATTCATTTGTTCCATTTTTATTGGAAAAAGCAGCTGTCGATGATATAAAAAAGCCCGGACTTTAATTTATCGTAGGGAATGGGTGTGTATAAATTTGAAAAGTCGTAAGTTTTTAAGCTGTTGGTTTTGGTAAAATCTTGTGATTTCAAATTTTCAAAAAGTTCCTTGGAATTTTTAAGTATCCACATCTGAATTACACCACTTCTTGAATATATTGTTGCACAGTACTCTTGAAGTTTCTCCTTCACTAAGTACTGTTTTAAAATATATCTTAGTGAGGAGTAAATATAGAGGCTTGGTTGAACATATTACTGGAACCCGCTAAGGACTCTCATCCTGTTTCCACTGAGATTCATAAATCTACAGAACAGTGAAAAATTACAAAATTATTTTTACTTCTTTTTTTTTAACTGGAGAAATTTCAGATTTTAGTACAATTCTCTGTTATCCTTAGACTTTCAGTCAGGCACGGTATTCCCGACGTTACATATTTAGCGCACAAGCACTTGTTTCTGTAATAAATTTTTAACCCACGTGTTATTATTATACTATGGTGAAAATTTATTTCCGAAACAAGTGCATGTGATTTAGCGTCTAAAATTTACACAACTTTCATTCACTGTTGAAATACACCTGGCCACATGGGATAGAAAGTGGCGAATGTCAACGAGTGTAGCAAATATCCAATAACAGGCAAAAAAGCTGGGGCTTAAGTCGTCTCATCGTTGTCATATTACAACAATTTAAAGTCCCTGATTTTTTTTTAATTTCCTAAAATTTACACAACTTTCATTCACTGTGATGCCTAGGTCACATTTAAGCCGACACATTTTTCTGGTCCACATGATCGGCCGATACAGTATCGGGCGACACGTGGCAGTCACATGTTCCTAGGGACACCGTGACTTGGACAAATAACACAAAAAATCTTTTTTCTTTAGAATTCACCAAATTTTTTCATCTATATTCAGATAACAGGGCAAAGTTGAAAATGTGTGCAAAATTTTGTATGGAATTGCATAAAAATGACAAATGGTGCATATCTAAGCAGCAAATAATACTTTAGATTTCTTTATATCTTATGGATTAATTATTCAATTTCCGTTCAAAAAATTTATATCAATCCATGCATCAAAATTTTGTTTGTGTTAGTATCCTTATTTTTTTAATTTCTTCATCGCATTTTGATTTTAGAAAATTTATTCCACCACAACCGACTTTAAAAACTGACCGCCGATGGTCGCTAACTTCAATTGAAATAAAAAATTATAACTTGGACCGATGGTCGGCCGACAAAAAAAGAGGCCAAAATCGAGAACTAAAATGCCCATTTTTGCGCCTTGGTCGTTTTTGGAAATGTGACTGGGGTTTTACTGAAAGTCCAAGGATGAAAGAGAACTGTACAAAAAAATGCACCCCCACCCCACCCCAAGAAAGTGTACATTGTACATCATGAATTAGATATTATATTTATATTGGACCACAATGTTCTTTTTTCCCCATTAAGAATAATTACTGATTTATCTATTATAATCTCTAGTTAATTTTAAAGAAGCACTCAAAGGGAGACAAATCCATCTAAATTCGCATTCTCACTACACACATTATACATGGAGATGGAAAATCATCATACTTTAAAATGTATTTTATTTTTAGCTTTACATTTGTTATTACTTGTTTACAACCACAAAACTAATGTGAATGCAAAACTTTAGAACCCCTTCTAGATCTGAGCATATTATTTATAATAGAACTGTTTGAATTAGATTAAACTTTCAAAGCAGCAATTTCTGTAAATTCCAAATACTAGCTACACTATATATTTGCTGAGTTTGGATTCAATGTACATTGCACTAACATCAGCACAATAGCAATTATAGAAAATGTCATCAGAGAGAGAGAGAGAGAGAGAGAGAGAGAAAGAGAGTAAGAGAGGCCGTTTGGAACCTTATTAGCATTGTTAACCCTACCAGTATATGAAATTTTATATGATTAGGTCCTCAAGAGAGGGTTAAGGATGAAATCATGCAGTTGCAAAGTCAAAGTTATAAATTTTATAAACAAATATTTCTCTAATTTCCCCTTGGTCCTTGACTCCCAAATGAATTTTTAAAAGAGAGTAAATTTCACTTTTTTAAAAGGACATGAACTTTTTTTAAGATCTTAGCAGTATTTGTTTTAGATTTTTATTTAAAAACCAGGTAATCTTTTTTTAAAGATTCTGTCACAATGTCAAAAATATGTACTTTTTTTTTTATATTTTTGGCATAAAGTTTAAAAATTTACAATTGCTTAGGTAATTTATACTGAAAATAAAAATGTCTGCCTGGTTGAACAATTTCCATAAACCGGAAGTCAAGTTTGAGGGGAAATCAAAAATTGCATGTTTAACAAAACATTTGCCAATATTATGGAGTTTTACAAAAAGTGTTTCAAAAAATATGTACAATTTTTTTTTTTTATATAGAATTACACTGAAAATGGCATAAAGTCACATAATTAATTAAGCACCAATCAGAAAAACGGATTTTAAAAATACAAATCTTAAATATAATTTATATTGTAGAAATTTATTATTTACTTATGTTAATAAAGTTAAAAGATGAACATTTAACATTATTATCAAATTTCTAATCTTCTGAAAAGTGAGTTTAGCCTTACTTTATTCGCTTTTAAAAATCATAAGTTAAAAAAATCAAACATTTGTAGATTACTGCTTGTTGCGTTTCTTTTGCGTGTCAGTATATATTGTAGAAATTTATTATTTGCTTATACTGTAATCAAATGGAGTCAAAAAATATATGTCAATTAATCCATGCATCAATTGTTTGTGTTATGTATCTCTAAATGAAAAACAAATATATTTAAAGGATTAAAATTTATTTAATGTAGATATATATAGGTGAACATACATGTATCACAGATTTAACAAGTTTAAACATAATCTCTCAAACAGTTGTTTGACATTGGCCACAATTCCTCAAGTGAATTCTGTATCCTTAATAATGGTACAAAATTCTATGACTATAAATAAGTATCAGCACTTTAAAAGCAATAAGAATTTTCTGTGGCAAAATGATCAAGCAATTGCTAATAGTTCTTCTTTTCTGTCAATCCATTTAAACACAAAAAACACAACTGCTACAATTTTATGATACATTACAAACAAATTTATGGACTGACTAAAACCTGTCATTATTGTTTTCCTATCGAAGAAATTATTTGACTGAAAAATAGACAAGGCATATATCTTAGATAAACTTAACAATTATTTTACAAATACATGTACTAATAAAATTATTTCACCTGTGTATTTATTTATCATCTTCTGAAGTTGAAGGTTCAGAAGTTTGGAAGGATTTCAAACTAAATATTGTACTCTATACTTCATTAACTTCATGATTTTACACAAGCATATACACATCTTTTTTCTCTCTCTCATAACAAATCCACATTCTCAACAACTAAAAAAAAAACAACACCCCTCCCGGATCCCCCTATACATTTGAAGCAAGCTTTATCGAGTGCTGGTGTTAAATTGCATAAAATAAGCGGCTGTGGGTGGGTTTGTGTAAACTTCCTTATCCAGAAACTCTAAATGTCCTTTCTGTTCCTTGGCTAAACGACGATTTTCCTCCGCCTGTTGGCGTTCTAAATCCCGACGCTTACGCTCCATCTCGCGCTCCAGGAGCATGCCTGCTCGAGCGTTAGCATTTTGTTGACGCTCCCATTCTGCTTGTCTCAGATCCTCTTCCTGTTTTGCTCTCTGAATAAAAGATTAATCACAAACATTTTAAAAAATGGCCAACAGCTCAAATGATAAAATTTTATGTTACTTGAGTAATAAAAACAACAAAAAAGGAAAAGATTAATTTCTTTAAAACAGATCCATTCAACTTTTAACAATTTCACCTATTTAGGATCCAATGCACCAATTGTTTTGTTTGAGACTGATCAATAGCTAGATCTTATAGAGAGAACGATCATATGCATTTAACCTACTGTAAATTTCAATTGATAGATAAGTCAATGAAATATAATTTAAAATTAATCAATAGATCGACTTAAATGATCCTACCTCCTTCTCTTGTCTCTGGAGTTCTTGTTTCCTCCTGACGTCCTCCACCTGGGCTGGGGTCATCCCCTTCCAGCGGTCAGTGATGACCCTGTGGGGCCCGAATGCACTCTGTGCCACTGCGGGATTCTCTGTAAGAACATCTCCAAACACATGATTAGCAATCTCTGTCATGTTATCATCTAATTCCTGCTGTTTCTTCAATCTCTCCTTTTCATCTCTTTCTCTTGCCTAGAAAGACAAAAATATTATTTTAAAATATAAATTAATACATCTTCTTGTTTCTTAATATTCTCAGTGTCTAAAAATTACTAAATACAAATGAGAATGTCTTTCTATAAACCAGTCTAGTACATAAATCAACTGTGCAAAATTAGTTTTTAAGAATTAATTTAAATGCTATTGTACAAATATATGTTAGAGTATATGGTTTATGCACCAGAAAAGGCAACTTTAATACAAGTTAAAGAAAAATTGATTTTGTAACCTTCTTTTATTAGAGTTTTATGCTGATTCAATTCTCTCAAATGATTTAAGAAAATGGATAATTATGTTCAAACAAGTGTTTACTCTTTACTAATATGTTTAATTACCCAAAAGCTGACTACAAATTAAAAAGAATCTTTGACCTACCAGGGCATTGTTGTAATCTTTTGTAGCCACATTGATGGCTCGCCTACAATCCTCCTCAGCTTTAGCTAGTTCCATTGCCCTCTGATCTAGTTCCCTCATCTTCAACTCATACAGTCTGTCTGCAGTTTTCTGGTTCTTCTCAGCTTGATCCCGCTCGTCCTTCTGTTCTGTGGACCACTCCCTGAGCTGTTCCTGTTGGTACTTCCTTCTGGCCTTGCTATTTAGATCTTCACCTACAGAATTATATCAAACTTCTGGTATTTTTTGTTTGTTTAAAAAAAAAAAAGAACACGAAGCTGGACCTATAACTTTCTTGAAATATGATTTTGTTAGGAGAAATTCAAACTCACAAGCTTTCTGAATAGTTCAAACATTTGTCAATTTGAACTCTGTAAAAATGGCAATTGTGATGTCATGAACCTGTGAATTTTCCCGTATTTTCTTAAAAGGATGTAGAAGACCTCAATATTCAATGGATTTTTTTTAAAACAATAAATAACACAATCACCAACCACAAATATTTTAAGATTTCAAAGATCTTTACATCAACATTTCTAAAACTTATAGTGGTTGAAAATGATATACATTTACTTTTTCCAACCTAAAAAATAAAAGTACACAGTAAGTTACCTTCAAATTTCTGTAAACTTGAAACACCACATCTTGGATCGTCATCACTAACTCTGGCTGGTTTGTCTTTCTTGAGGTAGTCTGGATCATACAAATCAAACTCCCTGCGGCTATCTGGCTGCTGGTGCATCATACGGAACTCATTCATTGCTCTGTTTAATTCTCTCATATCTGCTTCTTGGCGTTTCTCTAACAACTGGGCAATTTTATCATTCCTTATAGCATCATGTGCTGAAAAAAAGGACAAATATTTTCAAATATTTTGATATTTATGAATAAACTTTTATAACTATTATTTCACTTTTTAATTTGTGCCAAATAATATATTTATTACAAATATATATGATATCTATTTACCAAATGCTAATTCTCTTTTCTTTTCAAAATCTTCATGTTGCTTCTTGTCTTTAGCTTGTTGTTCAAGTGCTTGCATGTCAACCTGTTAATATTCAAAACATATTTAAATTATGATGACCCTGTCAAACCTTCAAAAAATTTTAATTATCTTTTATATCAGAATATCGATCAACAGTTCAAATTAACATAGAAAAAAAATGGAAAAATATATGTTACTTTCACAAATATATTTTGAAGAGATTGTGATAGTAAAAGACACATTTCACACAATCTTTATAAGGGAACCCATACATGGACAGGCCCATATAGTAAAATAAATCTATGCAAACATCATATTTAAACCCTTAACCCAAACATGCATTTTAAAATTTATTGACAAGGGTGCTTAATCTTTGAATCAAGGATTTATTTTGGACATATTAAATGGTGCATAATGACAAAAATAAACTAAATTTATACGAGATGCAATTCAAGAGAATGTGCACAAGTGTCCAACATAGTGTTGGTAACCTGAAAAACTTACCCCGATGGTTCTACATTTAGCGTTGAAAATTCTTGATTTTCTCTCCTCTTCCATTTTCCGACGGCGTTCAATCGCCGCGGCTTCTTTATAATCTACTGGTAAATCTAATTTGTACATCTTTCTTCCTTTAGAAAAACACCAGAAATCAGAAAAAAATTCTGTGTCACTCTCCCTGCAAGCGTTGTCAAGTTTACGCCGTTGTCAACCGGAAGTTTACATGCTGCGGACCTATAAACTTTCGATTTACATTAGCATGTTTAAGTAAATTTATTTTTTATGTAAAATTTCTAGTAATATACTTAATTTTGTCTAATCTGATGATAAAGGATATGATAAAGCCATAATTTTTTGTTTTTTTAAAGATGTGTCATTTTCTGCGCACTTTAATGTACCGATCCCGATCAAAATTCGTTGCTGCACTAAAGACGAATAGAGTCCTATGTACCATGGCAGCTGTTGTAGCTAAATGTCACGTGTAAAACGGATAGATTACAAGTCTAATTTCTTATCGTAATGTAATTTAAAGGTTACATAGGATACAAATAGCATCCTTTCGTAAAAATTTAATCTTTTTCTATAAAAAAAAAAAATTATATTCATGTTAATAAATTGTTAATTTTTTCAATCAACTGAAATTTTAAAAATAGAGAGATTAGTACTAATTCGATTTCCCTCAAATCTACATAACTTATAATTATGCACTTGCTGGCTGTTTCAATCTTATTAGAATTATACCTTAAAATGTTTCGCTTTTTGTAAATCTTATATTTGTTTTTCTGTTGGCCACTTTATGTACTAGTATCCCTAAAACCCTTTTATCACATGAATTAATTAAGTAAAAGTCCGATCGATATGTTACGATTATAGTATAGAAATATAGTAGTATCGGATTCCATACGCCTTGGAAGAAATTTGAAAGTGGGGTCAAACTGAAAGGCGGGGTCGATAAACTAACAAAAAGGGGGATAAAACCCCATCCTTGTGGTTCTGACGCCTATGGAACCAGATCACAAAATAAACCTTAGTCACAAAAATGGAAAATAACTTTTTGAAATTATTTAGAGTAAAAAACTAGCAGTTTCGCAAAACAAAAAAGGAGCCTGTGAATTCCCTTGGGACACTTTAAAACCCTCTAAATCATTAAGTGGTACAGAAATTTTATATTTTCCACCAGTTCACACCATGCAAAAACAAAAACAAACAACTATGACTGTTAACCATTTGAAGGGGAAAAACAAAGAAAACTGTCATGATGTGAAGGTATAACATAAATATGTTCATGACTGTCATGGGAAAAGAATTTGATACGATATACGTATCGATCCCCTTAATCATATCTCCAATAACACCCCATCCCTTCTTGGGAATGAATATTTCTGTTCGTTTGAAATATTTCGCAACAATACATATGTAAACAGCCCTGCGCCCTTTCCATACTGAATTTGCTTTATGTGCCAATATGTGGGTATCATGATTGATTTGAACTGAATGCATGATGATGATGAATACCATAAGTTGCAAAGAAGCTATAGCTTTCATGATGGCCATGGATGAAAGTAATCATTTTTTCTTAGATGATACTGAAAAATTTCAAACTAAATAATTTGCGCAAGTTGAACCCCTTAATTTTTTTTATTATTCTCGTGAAATCAAAGGAAAGGTTGCAAGGATATGGAATTCCATTCTGGGATATCTATTTATTTTCCGTATACTACATGCACAATTTTTATGCCCCGCCATGAATATGGCCGGGGCATATAGTGTTTGTCATGTCCATCTTCCGTCCTTCCGTCCTTCCGTCACACTTTGCGTTTAGCTCTGTTCAAAGCTAAGTTTCAAAGAAACTATCCAAGATATTTTCATCAAACGTTATATGTTGATAAATATTGATGAGAGCTATGCAACTGCATCAACATTTTTTGACCTTGACCTTTCCGTTGACCTTGACCTCACTTTTCTTAAATTAGTGTTTAGCTCAGTTTTAAACATACCATTCTAGATAGTGTTATCAAACTTCACGTGTTGATACAAACTTGCACGGATGATGTATCTAGGGATGAACACTACAAGACTTGCTTCGGATGCTGGATCTGACGTACATTTTCCAGATGAGTGACCAGGTTAAAGTTTTTGGAGCAGGTTAATTCCTAAGGAACTATAAGCCCTACTTGGACCAAACTAGCATGGATGATGCATCTAAGGATGGATACTACCAGACTTGCTTCGGATGCTGGATCTGACCTACATTTTCCAGAAAAGTGACCAGGTTAAAGTTTTTGGAGCAGGTTCATTTCCAAGGAACTATAAGCCCTACCCAAACCAAACTTGCACGGATGATGCATCTAGGGATGGACACTACCAGACTTGCTTCAGATGCTGGATCTGACCTATATTTTCATTCCCAAGTAACTATAAGCCCTGCCTGAACCAAACTTGCATGGATGATGCATCTACTATAGATGGACACTACCAATACTTGCTTCGGATGCTGGATCTGACCTATATTTTTATTATCATCGTACTAGACTATAAGCCCTACGCTGAACCAAACTGTTGCTTTACTAATATATCCTCGGCGGGACATTCATGTCCTATGGACATATTTCTAGTTTTTAATATTATAGGGAGAATTAATTAATTCCGATCAATTAACAAATTTTGAACTGGTCATCAATTATTTTCTGATTATTTCCGATTTTTTTAGAAGAAAATTTTACATATACTATAGTTTTAGAAGAGTTGAAAAATATTGCAATTAATTTTGACAATACTATCACGAAAGAATATTTTATTTTGTGCAATTATCATCGGGATCGAGAGACAGCCGGAACTTTTAGGACGCCATCTATGCGCGCTAAAATGTTTACATTAAAAAAGGAAAACAAATGATCAAAATCGACGCTTAGATGACTGCAAATGCAAAAATTTCCATCAAATAGTGTATCATAACTAAGTTACAATGGCTGGATACCTAAAGTATATCGAGGTGGACAATTTTAAGTCCTACATAGGTGTACAAAGAATCGGACCCTTTGATCGCTTCACTGCAATTATTGGACCAAATGGATCGGGTATTTGATTTCTGGAATAATTTTGTACAATAACCTTTTCTTTTGTTTAAGAAGTTATCATTGCAAAATTAAATGACAGTGCAAGGAAAATCTATGGTCTTATTTTGACGCAAATTCTTGCACCTTTAATTTCAGTTCCAATGAGATTGTTTAGTTAAAAACCGTAATCTTTAGGAATGTTATCATTGCAGGCAAATCCAACTTGATGGATGCAATCAGTTTTGTCCTTGGAGAGAAAACATCAAATTTAAGATGCAAGAGAATGAGTGTTAGTATATTATTATAACATTTTGATACATGCAACTTACACAGTTTGAACTATCATTGCAATTGTAAGATTTTTCTTTGCATTTACAGGATTTAATTCATGGGGCACCTGTGGGAAAACCAGCTGCCAACAAAGCATCTGTCACTGCAGTGTATGTAAACTCTGCAAATGGGGAGGAGACACATTTCACTCGGGTTATCCATGGCTCTTCATCTGACCATAAAGTCAACGGAAAGGTAAAACTATCAACAATGTGTCCCAAGTTTTCTGGTTTCAGTCCTTCACATAAGTTTCTCTAAAATGAGATGGTTGGTTTTAGCAGTAGATTATAATTTTCAGTAAGTTATCTTGAAAAGTAAAGCCATTTTTGACTTTTGAGTTTTCTTATACATGTACCACTTTTGGTGTTGCATGTCTTTCGAGTTGAACAAACAAAAGTCACTCTTTGCTTTTACATAGAATAAGTTATACATTTTCCCTCTCTACTAAGGTTATAATTTGAATTCAAAATAAAATCCGATAAAAACATGATAAAGATAGCCATTGTGGATTGCAAGTTTCAGGGCTCCCGCTGGACCGAAAATATTTTTCGCCACTTTGCGCGACAAAAGGAAAGGCATACTTACATCTGATTTCTCGACAATGCAATGCACTTTCTCTTATTCAATTTTTTTTATTATGTTTATCACATTGTTTTAAAATAAATTTAAACAATAGCATCCATTTAAAAAGTTAATGTTGAATAAAATTACTTTTATATTGAATTGATATCTGCCAACTCTTGAAAGAAAATGTCCTCTTGTTTATAATTTTTTTTTAGCATGGGAAGGGGGATATGGGGGCTACAGACCTAGTAAAAATGTATGACATTTTTTAAAAATGGAAATTTTCCTCATTTCATTAATTAATTGTGAAAAGAAGTAATTAAAAAGTAATGAAAGTTAGGTTTAAAACTTGACTTTATGACTTTTATTTATTTAAACAACTTGGAATCTAGGGTTTAATATGCAAGGTAATGTATGTGTTATTTCAGTGTAATTTACTAACATATTCTGTAACAACACAAATTTCTTTTTCAATCTTTGTCAGTTTAATGGTAAATGGACACATTTTTCAATTTTCATTAGGTAAAATTTAAAGCCATTCTCAGAGTTCTTGAAATATTTTTTCCACTGTCAGTCATTTGGACTGACTGCCACAGGAAGTTTGTCGGTCCAGACAGATTTCTATCAGTCCAACAGAATAATAAAACATAATTTTAAGATTGTTTCCCTACTTTCGGTTTTAAAAAAAATGATGTACATAGATCCAGATTTTGTTGATAAAAATCTTTTATTTACTAACTTCATTTCCTAATAACACTTTATCCCCCTTGTTTAATCAAAATAATATTTTTTTCAAGCAATTATGTAACCCTTTACTGCTCCAGGCTAGTTTCCTAGTCAGCTGTGTACATAAGAATAATTTATACATGTATTTCATTTTGCACTCTCAGCTGCATTAAATAAACAAAGGGACTTGTATACATTTAAACAAAGGAACTTATAGGACTAGAAAATTTTGATGGTACATCACTTTTCGCCACTTATGAATTTAGCTTTTGAAAAAAAATCGCAATTGTGGATTGTAAGTTTAAAGAAAGTATATGATGAAATATTGCAGAGTGTGTCTGCTCAAGACTATGCCAATGAACTGGAAAAGATTGGGGTTCTTGTCAAATCCAAGAATTTTCTGGTGTTCCAAGGCACAGTGGAGAGTATAGCTATGAAGAATGCTAAGGAAAGAATGGCCATGTTCGAGGAAATCAGCAGGTATCTCATCTGAACACAATTATATCAACAGTTTGAATATCAGTCATGTAAACATTTTTTCATCAAT